TGGACCGAGGATGGATCTTCAAACAAGGAAAAAGGAATTAGCAAGTCTTCATCTATGTGGCTTCTAATATTCTAATCGTTGTTCCCTAGTTTGAAGTGGTTAAACCTAGGGTTCTGATGCATGGTCATTATCGGTGTCATAGCGCATTTGGAGGGTGTTCCAACAGGGTACACGACGTTAGGCATACGGTCGTTAGGTATAATGGACGTTGGGCATAAAGGACGTTAGGCACAATCTACCCGATGAATTCCAGAAGGATGATAATGGGGATCGTCTATTGATTGGTGACTTCGGTGACAATAATGAAAGAGCCTTGCGACGTCTTGGAAAGGCAAAGTATTGGGTTACAGATGGTACGCACAGTGGGCTACAAAATGGTGAGTTGACAACCTGGAAGGAGCGGAATACCTAGCCCTGGTCCTCACAAGTTCCTACTTCACGCCTCCTCGAGTCATATGATCACAAAAGACTACCAGCTGAAACATGGACACAGCTGGTTGGCGTAGCCTGGGCAATGTTGCCAGTCCGGCAATAGCAAAGTGAAGAGGTGCGACGCGAACACTGGCGCGGTAACCATAGTACGGTGATAGAGGAAATGCTTCACCAAACCTGAGCGTCTGCTCACCATGGAGGTGCGGCTCAAAACGGCGTCTGTTCTCCATGTTAGGAGCGGCTGATCACCGTCCTAGTGCCAGCGTGGGACTCTAAACAGAGCTGTGCACGATGGTCCCCCGGCGAGACAGGGGGTTGGGGCAGGCCCAACAAGCCGCCCTGGAAAAAAAACAAAGTTGCAAATACCGAAGAAAGAAATACGGATCGGAACAATCGGCACAGACCTACGCGACGAAATAAGGACTACGATTGGAAACTCGGAACATGGAACTGCAAATCGCTCGGCTTCCCGGGTTGCGATAGGTTAATCTATGACGAACTTCAACCACGCAACTTCGAAGTCGTAGCACTGCAGGAACTTTGCTGGACGGGACAAAAGGTATGGAAAAGCGGGCATCGAGCGGCTACTTTCTACCAGAGCTGTGGCACCACCAACGAGCTGGGAACCGGCTTTGTAGTGCTGGGTAAGATGCGCCAACGCGTGATTGGTTGGCAGCCGATCAACGCGAGGATGTGCAATTTGAGGATTAAGGGCCGTTTCTTCAACTACAGCATCATCAACGTGCACTGCCCACACGAAGGGAGACCCGACGACGAGAAAGAAGCGTTCTATGCGCAGCTGGAGCAGGTGTACGACGGTTGTTCGCAACGGGACGTCAAAATCGTCATCGGCGACATGAACGCTCAGGTAGGACGGGAGGCAATGTATAGACCGGCAATCGGGCCAAACAGCCTGCATGCCGTATCGAACGACAACGGCCAACGATGCGTGAACTTTGCAGCCTCCCGGGGTATGGTAGTTCGAAGTACCTTTTTCCCCCGCAAGGATATCCACAAAGCCACCTGGAGATCACCTGACCAACACACAGAAAACCAAATCGATCACGTTCTAATCGACGGGAAATTCTTCTCCGACATTATCAACGTCCGCACGTACCGCAGTGCGAACATAGATTCGGACCACTACCTAGTTGCAGTATGCATGCGCTCAAAACTCTCGACGGTGCATAACACACGTCGAAGTCGAACGCCACGACCCAACATTGAGCAACTACGGGACACCGGAGTTGCCCAGGACTACGCGCAGCAGCTGGAAGTTGCACTACCCACGGAAGAGCAGCTTGGCGCAGCTTCTCTTGAAGATGGCTGGAGGGACATCCGTTCAGCCATAGGTAGTACTGCTATAGCGGCACTAGGTACTGCAATCCCGGACCGAAGAAATGACTGGTTTGACGGCGAATGCAAACTGTTAGTAGAGGAGAAGAATGCAGCACGGGCGAGAATGCTGCAACACCGCACGAGATTGAATGTGGAGCGATACAGACAAGCGCGGAACAGACAAAACTCGGTTTTCCGAAGGAAGAAGCGTCAGCAGGAAGATCGAGATCGCGAGGCGATGGAAAATCTGTACCGCGTAAACGACACACGGAAGTTCTACGAGAAGCTAAATAGTTCGCGCAAAGGTTACGTGCCGCAAGCCGATATGTGTGCTGAATACCTGGGTCGAGTGTATTCAAGGAGAAAGTCGACGAAGAGAATCTTGTCAGTGTTACCTAGGACCTAATGCAATGTTCAGCTTGAATTGTTTCGCTTAGCTGTAGCAATGTAAACAGAAAATCGATGAAGATAATCGAACATTACAAGTAGGCCCTTTTGAACGCTCACTACCGAAGTTTAGAACCTAGCACTGAAAAAAACTCGACGGTAGCTCTTTTTATGCTAAGAGATAAGCATTACAAGTCCTTCCTACTTGAAGAATTATGCAATCGAACGGCTTGCTATGTCTCGCCCCCATCAGCAAAAAAACTGGGGTTGTATATAAACCGTTCTATAGCATAATGCTCAAAGTAGGAGGGACTTTCAAAGGTAATCTAAAAGCATAATTTATTTCCAAAAAACAGAGGAACCGTCTGATAATTTCAGTGCTTGGTACAGAAAACTGTAATCTGTGTAAGAAAATCCTTTTTATCACCACAGAAACACCCAGTTCCCGTTTTCTTATGCACAAAACGCACAAAATCTAAAAAAACCAGATTAAGAATTTTTTTTAAAAATTCAATCAATAGATTGAAGATGTACAGTGAATTAAATGGAGGGATTTCAAGCAAAAATGTTCTGATCGCGAGATATTCACGATCATACCGAAATTTCGCCTAAATTTCCAACCCGTTTTGTGTGGTGTGTGCTACTGATTTTCACTGTTGCCCAATGATTAGGGAACTTTCATAAATAACGTAGTAGTTGAGAGAGGAGGATGGTTTCAGAAGTTGGGACCGTTATTTTGTGGGGAACACTGTCTTCTGTAGTGTGGCATAGTAGCCATGCTTTTTGAACTCTACTAATACTAAATACTAATGTTTCCAGCTGAACAGTTGATTATGCATAATCATAAGACATCACTGACTTCAGTCATTAATAACTTTTGCTCCTAACATTTTATCGAAAAGTGGTCTTCAACTTGTAACTGGGAAAATTTCCTATAAGCGTAGGACGCACTTCATAAATGAGAGAAATAAAGAGAATTTTAGATAGCTATGAACAAAAAATGTGGTTTTCCCATAGTATTTACATGCACACTTCAAATGGTTTGTGCCAAGTCAGTTTCTAACTAAATTAGTTCAAATTTTGGGAGACTAATCACAACCCCCAATTTGGAACCGTTTGAGCATTGTGAATTCAAAATTTTGCATCAGTCTACTGGCCACCCTGAACTAAGAATATCAATATTTCTTAGACAAATAACCGAAGTTCATCAAACCCGTTCTTGTTCCCTAAGCCCTTCGAATCTAGGTGCGAAGCTCCCTAGACTGAATCTTAAAATGCATTAGAAATGTCTTTCAAGTTGTCTAATCTTACCTCTAAATTTGCTTGGATAGTTTCCATAAGAAAACTTTGAAATTGATGTGGACTAGGTTTGTTCTTTAAGTTTTTTGTTAAGTCTTCCGAATATGCTTCACCCGAATATCACCATAGTTGGATTAACCTATCTTTAAGGATCACTGTTGATTCCATAACCTAACATGTTATGTCATTTTGTAAATTAATTTAGGATAAAAGCCGGACACCGGAAAAAAATAAGAGACGATTAAAAGGATGTTTGTGCCCCGATACCAATTAAAGCAGGTGGCACGAATTCTTTGCTAACTGAAATAACAATTCAAACAATATATAGCACCATGATCGAAAATATTGTTTTACATGAATGAACAAATCCCGATCGACGGCCAATGACATATTTTCATCCAAAGTCATTGCTTCGAACCAATCGGACAAGGTTGGGCCCCTTTCACTCCGGTATGCAACACATCGGCTAACAAATAGCAAACAGTAGGTAACATTGCGTTTCAGAATCCGATTTAATCCCTCCTATCGCATTGAACAGCACAGCGAGGGAAAAATCCTCCACCTCGGGCAATGGTAATGGTTCAATATTGCCGATTTAATTAGTGCAATTGAAGTGCCTGTCTGATCGAAGCCGTTGCTTGCCGCTGATCACAGAGTTGCATTCCTGTTTGACTGTGGCCATCGCGGTCGCCGTCGTCGTCGCCGTGTAGCAGAGCGAATATAAGCAATTCGAACGTGTTTACTTTTATTTTATTTATTGATACTTTTTACAACCTATTGCCCCAGCTAGCAGTGGTTGGTGCACTTGACTTGACGGCGAACGATCCGCGTGTGTAAATATTTGCTGTTTGTTTTGGGATTGGGCACTGGCAAGAAAAAAAAAACCGGTGTGTCTGTGTTATTGAAAAAGAAAACAATGAAACATTTTCTCCTGATTCGGGCGTGAGAATTTTTCTGTCTGGAATCGTCGATTTGTGGGTCAAGGGTGGTCGCTTGATATGAGATCAATTTTTTCAATACGAATCTACAATGATTAGTCACAACAGTTCAGAAAACCCGGAAAATGTTCCATTTCGGAATTAATGTAATTAATTTCTAAGCCAAGGGAGGGAGAGGGATGTGAATGAGTAAATAATCACAGAGCAGCGGGAAACGGCGTTCTAAATAACCACTATAACGACGCTTTCCGCACAGTACGATATTAAATATCATTAGGTCGATGGTTGCTGTACAGTTTTGCGTCGCAGTTGGAAGCTGTCAGTTCTGCCTCAGATTTTCCGATGCAGTTCTCGTGAAATGTGACTCCCGCGTGTGTTTGCATTCAGGATCGAATTTAGCATTTCTAATTCAAATCACTTCAAAGCAATCATCTGTCCGATTGTTGTTATTTACAAACCGGCGGGTAATTAATTTCCCTGGCTTTTAGGAGCGGTAAATCTGCTATCATATTTAATATGATTTTATTGGTTGATTGGCAGACTGCCAGTGAGGAAGTCGGCGACTATTGTTTTTCAAACATCTTTGATTTTATGGCCTATACTTACAATCTGAAACTCTCTCCGCCGGTCGTAGGCCCTCCGGATTGCTCTGTCCTGCCACAGCATGGCGATGATCGGCACGTACTGGTGGAACTGCTCGGCGTCCAGCAATATGCCACTGTGAAACATGACCGCCTGGTTCGCGGCCAGCTGGGAGGTGGGATTCTCCCATGGTATATCTAGCTTATCCCTAGCGTCGCACAGCACTTGCATGCCTGAAAGGAGATGGACGAAGTGATAAAATTGATAATGTAAGGAAACGATTGATGAAGGTGAAATTCACACAGAATATTCTTCTACAGAGTTAGCAGTGTATCAAATTTGATCCTAGCTCATTATTTAATGGATTACAAATGAACCTTTCGTGGAGAATTACAAGGCTGTTACAAGATTTTATAAATTTGATCTGCGAAATCCGCGACTTCAAATATTAATCCGCGGCAAAAAAAAAAAACTGTTTTCATTGCCTAAAAATACCATTTGTATACTACTACATGGCATTTCAAGCTTATTGCTTATAGCATATTAGATTGTTGCCTGCTCTCTCAACTTAGTGTTCTTTGAAGTACTTTCACATTTTATTTGAGAGTTTTCTATGCCTGTATCATCCTATGCCCAAGGAAGTAGAGAAATTGTTCAAACCGAAAAATTAATAGACCGGACGGAACTCAGTCGCCTCCAGCACGGACTTGATTTTTAGCTGCGCCTTTATCGCCTAAGCTAAAGGAGTATCGTTGTAACCTTTGAAAAAAAATTAAAAAATAACAATGTATCATCTTCAGTTAACTTCTCTTAAGTGTTTGCAGTTCTTATGAAGCTTGTTGTACTACCACGAATTTAACTGAACTGTTCAAGCTTGCGTGATTTTCTGCCCTGAATATTTTAATTTTTGTTTTTTTTTTTTAAAGAACTCAAAATTTTACTGGAATTGATTTAATTGCCTTTGAGTTCTACAATTTTTTTTATAAAGTTTATAAACGCTTACGGAACTGGAACTGGGAGCCTGGACATTAGACTGATGCAAAATTTGAAATTGCCGCTCCACAGTGCTCAAACGATTCCAAATTGGGTCCTGATTATCCTCCCAAAATTTGAACTCATTTAGTAAGAACCAGACTTGGCACAACCCATTTGATGTGTATATGGAAAATACTATAGGGAAACCATAATTTCGGTTCATATCTATCACAACATTCACCAGTTCACTCTACTTTAGAAAATGATAGCTGTGCTTGTTGAAAATTTTGTCAGCTACAACTTTGTTCAAGACCACTTTTCGATCTTTACGAAACAAAAATGAATGATTCAAGTTACTGATGTCTTATGATTATGCTCAATTAGCTGTTCAGCAGACAACATTGTTGTTTATGACGCGTAGAATAGAGGACAAAAACCATGGCTACTATGTCACACTGCAGAATACAGTGTTGCCCACAATACAGTTGCTTAATCTTGCCATAAGATTATCAATATCTTGAACAATTATTAACTATTTAATTGGACGTTTGGCTGAAAAACGATTTTCTGCAAAGTTATAGCTGATAAAAATTCTCATAAGAATAGCAATAGAATTTGTTAACAATACAATATGTAAAAATGCTAGAAGACAATGAACAAAAAGTTTTGTTTTCCCATAGTAATTTCCATTTAAACTTCAAATGGTTTGTGCCAAGTCAGTTTCTTATCAAATGAGTTTAAACTTTCGGAGGATAATCAGGACCCGATTTGAAACCGTTTGAACACTGTGGAGCGGAAAGGAGGAGCGCCTAATGTATCCTCAGTTTCGCGAAATACAGTTAATGCATGGCTCCTCTCATCACTAGTGTTTATAATATCGTTCCTGTAAGCTCTTATGCAATAATTATATGCAGGGGGATGGTTGGGAATATAGGTGGTGGTGAACTTTTTCACTGTGCTATTACTGTCCTCTCCCATAACTGGGAATCCTTGTAAAACAATGTAAAAGTAGAAATGGTCTAGACCCTCCCTATGTAAAACCATAAGGTATGCGGGACTACTGCACTGCTGAACTTCAAAACGCTTTATTTGCTGATCAAGGATCTAACAAAAACATCTTTTTAGGATGATAAAAAATTTAAACAGGTTATTCAATGTCCATTAAAACTGTAAAACATATAGGCAGAAATAAAAGAAAACGAAAAATTGCTACCAGTTGGCTGGAAATGAACACAAAATTAATCAAAGTAACCATGTACCTTGAGCTTTTGATATAGTGACAGATTGAGAACGATCTAAATTGTTCATCCACAAGTATTGCAAGACTTGAAATTAACAGACAATCTCAAAATACTTTCAACTTGCGAAGTGATTGACTCCCAAGTGGTGTATTCACTGGTGTAAAAATTATCAAGTATATTTTTTTTTTTTAGAATCGATGTTTTATAGATTTTTTTTGTAGTTTGAGATTCATGAAGAAAGTTACAGTTGCTTTGTGGCACCAGTGACCAGCAAATTTAATATTTTCATTCAAGGTTGTGTGGAAATTCAAGCTACCGGGCGAGCTACTGGGTTACATTGCTGCCCTCTACCTAATGCAGTCGAGTGATCAAATCAGAAAGTTAGCAGGTTAGAAATCAATTAATAACTAATTTCCTCAACGTTCAATTAAAAAGTGGTCTTTAGAAAAAAATGTACACCCAACCGGTGGATGTAAGATTCGCTTACAATTATGTGGGATTCATCATCAGAGGATGTAAGTGGAGACCGCATGAACCGAGGATGCGATATACCTAGCTGCGGTCCGATGGAAGAAAATTGGAGACCGAAAAATGTGGAGTGTATTAGTGAGTGAAATTAATTATGTCGAAAAAAAAAATAGAAAACATGTTGCCGACTGGACTCGAACCACGGACGTTGCTACTATCAGACCTGTGCTTTCTCTACTGCTCTCTCCATGCTTCTGAATAAGGTCAGCCTAAAAGCAAACATGAAGCGCTCATTTTCTCGCATGCTCGACTTCGTATGCTTTTTCTGCTGGAGAGATTCGAGATAAGTGTTTGCGTCGTTCTACAATGTTCTACAATGTGCGTCGTTCTACAAGCTTACTGGTATAGTCGAAAGCGTAGATGGAACACGAAATAAAAAAAAGACAAAAAACCATTACATCGCCTGCATGGTCAATTCCTAACATTCGTTGCGATGTTCATGAACAGAGGATGATAGGAACTGGAACTAACATTCATTGTAATAGATTTTTGGTTTGCGTGTAGCTGGGAAAATTTCCTATGAGTACACAAGGCTAACTTATGGCGAAATTTAAAGACGAGGTGAACAAAATAATCACTTTCCCATAGTAATACCTTTATAAATTTTAGATGGCCAGTGCAGAATGAGATCACAACCCAATAAGCTCAAATTTTGGGATAATTATCTGGACCTGATTAAAAATCGATTGAGCTTAGTGACGCAAAGCCGATATTTTGAACCACCCTAATAAGCATGTTCTCAATGCAGTAAGACTAATCAACAGAATGCTTGCTAGCTTACACTAAACATGTCTAAGCGCCAATCTCAGTGGTCTAACTGTACTTCGCACTAATAGCATAGTTCTTCTTGTCGAAGAGTACAGCCACAAATGATGATTTGGTCAGCAAAGATTAGACTCTTGGTGAATAGTTACAAGTATCTACTATTAGCTGGTTGTATTGAGAACTAAAACTATAAATTAATCCGGAAAACTTTGAGATTAGGGCGTAATTTCTTTTGTAAACACACACTTAATTCGCCGATTTATCGTGAATTAAATGGGCTATGAAGCTGGGTATCGAATTCTCTCCGGAGAAAACTGAGTTGGTTGTTTTTTTCTAGGAAGCATCATCCTGCACAGTTACAGCTTCAACTAAAGGGTAGAACAATCACTCAAAGTATATCTTTCAAGTATTTAGGTGTCTGGTTCGATTCCAAAAGCACGTGGGGAAAACATATTGCGTATGTGAAACAAAAATGCCAACAAAGAATCAATTTTCTTCGTACAATTACCGGAACTTGGTGGGGAGCACACCCGGAAGATCTGATCAGGTTATATCGAACAACCATCTTGTCGGTTCTAGAGTACGGTAGCTTCTGCTTTCAATCCGCGGCGAAAACACATATCCTGAAGCTGCAACGGGTTCAATACCGTTGCCTCCGAATCGCGCTTGGCTGTATGCACTCGACGCATACGATGAGCCTCGAAGTACTCGCGGGTGTTCTCCCACTGACAGATCGTTTCGCGGAACTGTCCTTCCGGTTTCTTATCCGTTGTGAAGTAATGAACCCATTGGTAATAGAAAACTTTGAGAAGCTGCTCGACAGAAATCATCAAACAAGATTCATGAGTCTCTATTACGAGTACATGACGCTGGAGATTGGCCCTTCTTCATTCAATTCCTCTCGTGTTTGCCTCCAAGACTTTTATAGTTCCTCTGTAAATTTTGATCTGACCATGTTGCAAGAAATCCGTGGAATACCAGATCACCATCGGTCGATGGGTGTTCCCTTAATTTTTGCAAACAAGTACCACCATGTCAGTAACAATAAGAGTTTTTTCACAGATGGGTCAACTATAAACGCTTCCACTGGATTTGGAGTATTCAACGAATTTCATAGCGCCTCATATCAACTGCAAAAACCCTGCTCCGTATACGTTGCGGAACTAGCAGCCATATTCTACGCAGTAGAGCAAATTGCCTCACTACCATCTGATCACTATTTTATTTTTACAGATAGCCTTAGCTCGTTGGAGGCTATTCGATCAATGAGGCCGATGAAGCACTCCTCGTATTTCCTGACCGAAATCCGAGCAAAATTGAGTACTTTATCTAACTGCTCCTATACTATCACCTTAGTTTGGGTCCCATCTCATTGCTCAATTCCGGGCAATGAGAAAGCGGACTCGCTAGCTAAGGTGGGCGCTATGGAAGGCGATATTTTTGACCGACAAATCGCCTTTGCGGAATTTTTCTCAATTACCCGTCAGCACGTCCTCACCAACTGGCAACAAATATGGAATGAGAGTGATCTGGGAAGATGGTTACATTCTATTCTCCCACAGGTATCGAACAAGCCATGGTTCAAAGGATTGGACAAGAGCCGTGACTTTATACGTGTCATATCAAGGCTCATGTCCAATCACTACTCGTTAGACTCGCATTTCTTCCGAATCGGGCTCGCAGGCAGCAATTTGTGCGCTTGTGGTAGTGGCTATCACGATATC